AGAAGAACAAAAGTGGCAGGTAACCTCATTTTAAGATTCAAAGCCTGGTTTTACTCGTGGTTATTTTGGGCAGTATAAATTTGCAGTAAATCTGCAACATTCACATCAGCTGCAGTTGTAATTAGGCTCACAACATGGCAAGTAGACAAAGTATATGAAAGGCCAATACCTCTGCTATTTCATTCTCTCCTCTTGCAAAGAGGTTTATCCTATCCCAACCTGAACCCTATTGGAAAACTCCAAAGCTGCAGGCTGCTCTGTGACCTCCTCTTTCTCCACAATTGATCTTCCATGGTCAGGACCATCCTGAATAGAGTAGAATAGAGTAGAATCACAGAATTGCAGAATCTTTCACGTTGAAAAAGACCACTAAAATCCCCAAGCCCAACCCCAGCCCACTCCCACCATGCCCACTGACCACGTCCCTCAGTTCCACATCTCTATGGCTCTTGAACAGCTCCAGGGATGGTGTCCCCACCACCTCCTTGGGCAGCCTGTCCAAATCAAGTAGAGAAGAATAGGTTAGATTGGAGTAGAGTAGGGTAGAGTAGAGTAGGGTAGGGTAGGGTAGGGTAGGGTAGGGTAGAGTAGAGTAGGGTAGGGTAGGATAGGGTGGAGTGGAGTGGAGTGGAGTGGAGTGGAATAGAATGGAATGGAATGGAATGGAATGGAATGGAATGGAATAGAATAGAATAGAATAGAATAGAATAGAATAGAATAGAATAGAATAGAATAGAATAGAATAGAATAGAATAGAATAACCCCAGGGGCTTAGCTGAGACCAAAGACCTTTTTGAAACATCTCTCCGGATGAAATTAGCCTTTCCTATGACACAAGGGGTTAATAAAGGACATGTTCAGGCTGTGCTATCTGCTCTGAGGGCACGTATTTGGTGGTAAGGGGAACATGTATCTTTGAGGTTCAGTGGGAACTCAACCCATCCCTCCCACCACCTGTGTGAAGCTCAGTGCTCACGTAAGCTCAGCAAAGGTGGGAGCAATGATGTTTGGCTATTAAGGGAAACAACCCAAAGGCCTACATGCAAAGGGCTGACCTGAAGCTCAGAGCCTGATGTTTGTCACAGAGCACTGGGCCTCCCTGCAAAGGGATATTTCTGCAAATGACTCAAGAGTGCCAGCATGGAAACCACAGCATGCAAAGGGCAGGAAACCAGGCCAACGGCCACCTCGCAGGGATTCCCCTGGATAGAGACCTCAGGAAGCTGTCAAGTGGAACCAAAGCAGCAATTTGCAGTTTATGTCCTAAGATGTTTTGCACAACCCACAGCACGATGAGTGCTTCTTTCACAAACTGGAAACGGCACAAGATGTTTTGCACAAAGACAGAGGGCTTTGGAGAGAAGATTCAGCCCTGGGTATTTCAGGTGCAGCTCTGGAGCCATTCCAACATCTGTAGGCAGCAACATGCAGGGTGCTATAGCATCAGATTTTTCTCTCTCCAGTACAAATAGCCACATTTATAGCTGGAGAACAGCTTGTAGAGCCAGCTTACGTTGCAACAGAGGCTGGGATCTTCCCCCCTCCACCCTGCTGGGCTGTAAGGTTTGTTTCTTACCAGTGAATGTACATTATGATTGAGCACGTCCGTACCTATATGCATAAACATATAATGCACACAGATTTGATGAGCCTGAATCTTGATTAAAAATGTATACCATCAACATCTTGCGAACCAACAGCGGCTGACATGCAGCCAATTCTTATGCAAAATGGTGATGAAAGCTTGTCATTCACGGGGCTGAATGGAGATGTCATCCCATTGCTGCGTCTTCCCAGCAGCTCTCAAGTGAAGCATAGAGAGCACGCTTCGATGGAGGGGAGGCACACAGAGCTCCTTTGTGTTGGGAGAGCGGGTTGCGTGCCAAGGCTAACGGATGGGGATGAAGTGTGTCCCAAGAAGCGTCCAGCAAACCACAGAGCTGTGTTTCTCTTTTGCAAGGCAGGATGACACAAGACCCGGGGCAGAAGGCCTCAGGGGAAAGCGATTCCGTGTCATTTCTGACGGGGGAATAAACAGGAAAAGGTGCTTTGGGAACAATCGGTGCTGTCAGGAATACTGCCTGCGTGGCCGGAGGACGAGAGCTGGGATCAAAGTGCTGCTGCCAGCAAGAAAGGAACCTGCTCTGTTTTTTCTTCTCCACACAGCTGTGACTCCCCCCTGGGCATCTCCCAGCCATGCAGATCCTGCCTCTCCTCTTTGCAGTCCTCCTCCTGATGCTCCGGGGAGAACCAGGTGAGATATGCGTACGTTGTGGGAAAGTGGTGATTTTGCCCTTTGTTGATATTTTGTAGGGGATAACAGAGAGTTTGATGATGATGATAGGTCATAGAATCATCGAATGGCCTGGGTTGAAAATGATCATTTAGTTTTAACCCCCCCCTGCTATGTGCAGGGTCACCAACCAGCAGACCAGACTGCTCAGAGCCACATCCAGCCTGGCCTTGCATGCCTGCAGGGATGGGGCATCCACAACCTCCTTGGGTTACTGTGGTACCCAATGGATTTCCATTGGAAAATTTGCCTTGGCTGGTGGAAAAAGGGGAAAAAAGGCAGCCCAGGGGTGTGCGGAAAGCTTTCCACTTGTGTTCAGCAACGAGACAATCAGGATGCACCAATTTTGGCTGTAGAGGGGCAGAAGCCTGTGCTCACATCTGGGCAGAACTGTGCTGAGGTGTTCTCTTTCTGCTTTCTGCAGGGCTGTCCCTTACTCCAGGATCACCCCAGGACTGCGAGCGCCGTGGGGGCTTCTGCTCCCCCAGGTCTTGTCCTCCAGGGATCAGCCGCATCGGCCTCTGCTCCGAGCAAGTCTTCTGCTGTCGGAGGTAGGCTCAGCGCTGCCTGGTGTGGGATGGCTGCTTCCTGATGGGGTTGGAGCTGAGGTCCTTGGAGAAAGGGAATAATGCTTGGGGGCATCCCTGGGTCTCTGCTGCTGTATTATCCAAACTGGGAGATGCTGCTGGGGCTGCAGCAGTCTGGTGTCCTCCAGCACTACTGCTGGCAGACCAGCCACCACCTGTAGAGAGCGTGGGGACTCTTCCCAGGCTTCCACCAGTCCCAGGACTGTCCCAAAGGGAGGTGGGGATTTTAACTGAGGGTTCTGGCCTCACAGAGTTGGGATGAGCACTGCTCCACCTTTCCTCCCACAGCCGATGGTATTCCTGATGGCCTCTGATGTCCCCTCACGTTGATCTCCATGCAGAGCATCGAAGCCACCACGTACCTTTGCAGTGCACCAGAGGCAACAGTCACCACTGGGAGCAGCGGTGACCCTGTACAACCAGACCTCAGCCCTGTGAGATCCCCTCTGTCCCCAATATAAGGTGGCAGTTTGCATTAACACTATGGAGACGTCTGTCTGTCCGAAGGGAATGGTGTATGTGTGTGCGTCTCTTTTCTCTGTCTCATTCCTCCCTTGGGATGCAAAACCACCCTGTTGGAACTGGTCACCTTCAGGGAGTCTGTAGCCCAAGAAAGCAAGAGTGAGAAAAAGGGATAGATAGGGATTTGCCCCTCTTCCTTGTGATTGTTTCGCATGTGGACCTTAGTAAAGGTGGGAGGTTGAATCTGGTGGATAACACTAGTGAGGTCTTCTCTCCCTGCCCTAGATCAACAGGGAACATCATCTCCTTCCCTGCCCAAGCCAACGAGAAGATGGTGAATTCTAGATAGACACAGACCCACAAACGCACATAGCACACCACCCTCACCTTCCCTCCCTTCAAGTTGTCCCCAGGCCCCAGCACCAGCCCCACGAGGCAGGGGGATCTGCAAGGACCTTGACTCCAGCCTCCCCTGGCAGAAAGGGCAACACCATACCCTGTGTCAGGGATGGGGGAGTTGCTGTCAAGTCTCTGAGTTCAGTCTGTGCCTGACATTGTTCACCTGATCCTAAGCTGAATCAGGAGTCCCTGTGGAGCTATTACACAGGACATAGAACTGCTCCAATGGAAGCTGACAGGACAGGGATCTTTCCAGTGTTCCAGGGAGAGGAGCAGAGCAGACCAGGGTGGGGCTGGGGACATATCCAGCCGTATATAGGAGGTAGCATTGGGCACCTCCATGGCAATGAACCAAGGCAAAATCAGGATGCTTGCTGGGTGTTGGAGATCCAAGTCCAGATCAGCAAGGCCAGGCTGCAGTTTGGGTGAAGATCCAGAACAAGGGACCCAGCTTAAAGCAGCTCCTTGGAACAGGGATCAACCCTGACCATGACCTCCTTGCAGCATGTGCTGGGAGCCCTCTCCCCATTATCATCAGCAAGCTGGGGAAACCCTTGATTATGCTGAGCTTGGTACCAAATCTGCATGAGAGGGAATGATTAAAGAGTCCCTACAGCCACAGAAACCAACGTGGACATCCAGTCCTCCTTTTACAGATTCTTGGTCTGGGAAGAACCCTGCCATGGGTCTGTCTGGTACATGGCACGAGGCCCTTGGTCTCTTATGTATCCCTTCATCTCTTCAGGGTAAAACACCCAGTGCTTCTGGCCCCGCTCCCTTGGAAGTTTCTTTCACATCAAGTAGTCTGACTTGAAGCCTAGAAAAAGACTGAAAAATTTGTAATTTTTCCTCCAAAAACAATATATGCCAAGAGAATTAGGCTGTCTGTGGACCCACCCGCTTGCTGTGGGCCCACTCTCTATTAATCTGAGTAGCCACTAAGAACTAGAATGCCTTACATTTTTCACATCTTGGCAAGTCAAATGCAAATCATCTTGAAAATGATGAAACTGTTCTTGTAATTTTTCAAATGGAGGAAAGTAAAATACCAACCATGATTCTGCATATCAAACAGAAGTGGATTACTAAATAAACTGAGAGGAAAGGGAGATATAAATATTTTATCCAATTAAGGGATTGGTTGCCACTGACATCTACACCAGCCAATCTCTGCTCATCTCAGGCAGTTCATGGCAAACCATTGCAGCCTGTGTACTTTCGGAGCAGCCGGGTGTCACAAGATGTGTTCTTGCATGAGGATAATGGTGAAGTTTGCACAATCCCAACAAGCACCTCAGCAGCTGAGAGGGATGAGGAACAACGCCAGCACCCACATGCAGAAGGGTGACTTTCTGATTGGTCAAGAGGAGAGGTATCAGCAGGGATAAGCACATGTCCCACCCCCCAGCAATGGTATAAAAATGTTATATTCAGGGCAAAGCTGTACTCTCCCTGACTGTGGGGTCAGCTGTACACAAGGGGTTCCTGTTGGGTGTCTTCGTGTTTGAACACCAAGGCGTTCATCAGGTAGGTGCTTGCAGGGTTGCCTCTCTGCTCAAGTCCCATCATCCCCGACTCCTCTAAATGACAGATTTTAAGATCTTCCCTGACCTCTTGCTCTTCCCTAGGACACTGTCAGTAAAAGAGGAGCTGGGGAGTTCTCTTGTTGCTGGCTGACTTGGTAAAAACCTTGAGTTGAGGGTAGAGAATAGAATAGAGTAGGGTAGGGTAGGGTAAAGTAGAGTAAAGAAGAGTAGTGTAGAGTAGAGTGAAATGGAATGGAATGGAATAGAGTAGAATATTTCAGTTGGACAAGACCTTCAAAGACCACCTAGCTGAATTGCCTGACCACTCTGGGGCTAACCAAAAGTTAAAGCACATTGCTGAGTGTGTTATCCAAATGCCTCTTGAACACTGATGGGCATGAGGCATCAACCACCTCTCTGAGAAACCTGTTCACATACTTGACTAACTCTTAAGTGAATAAGTTTTACCTAATAAATGTAATAAATGTATTTTCCTAATAAAAGTAATGTCCCAAGCTGAGCTGGAAGGCCCTTCCTGAAGCCTGGGTAAGCCAGAGAGACTGGGCAGGGTGGTTTTAGCAGCCAGCTTTGAACTGCCTGTGGTGAAAGGCAGTGCTAATTAAACCTTCATACAGTGTGGCAGCTCCAGGTACAAGCATTTCCCTGACTCTCAAAGCCTGGATCCTTCCTTGTCTCTAGTTTGATGATGAGCTTTGCACTGACTGTTGGCACGAGCATCTCCTGATGTTCAGATATCCTCTACTGTGCTTGAAATTATATTTTATTTCATCCCTTGTGATCAACTCTAGGGACAGCCAGTTGTGATGTCACAGAAATTTAGTGCTTTTTGGAATGTGTATATATTTTTTTCCAGAAGAAAAGCGTTGGATGCATGAAGGATGGGGGGAATAAAGCTTTATCAGCTCCACAACTTTCAGTGGTAATTTTTGATCTACATTTTCTAAGTTTGACTGGAAGTTGCTTTGATTGAAATGGCAAGAGGTGGGCTTGAGGTCTCCAGTCAGTTCTTAGGCAAAAGTCTATCAAAGACCTTTGACGCTGCTAATGGGAAAATATCACCTTGAGTAATACTTTTCAAAGAGATGGAGACCACTTGAAATGTTCCCAATGTCTGCATGGTAGTGCACAAAAGCATATCACTATGCCCAGGCTTCTGAGCTGTTTCTGTTCTGCCATGTCCTTGTTGCCTTTGCTCATCCACTCTGCAGCCTTGTGAAGACCTGCTCCAGGCATGAAGATCCTGTACCTGCTGTTCCCCTTCTTCCTCTTGTTCCTCCAGAGTGCTGCAGGTGAGAGGGGAAGATGGGGTGAGGTGTGAGCCCATATCAGTAGAGTCTTCCCTTGTTCTGGGAAGCCTTTGTTGGAACAATGCAGAGATTGGGAGGCAGTGAAATAAATTCTGTGAGTGACCTTTCCAAGAGGGGCAGAAACACCCCATAAATAGAAGCTTGGCTTGGTGTGTGTCGGGAGGAGTTTTGGCTGCAGGTTGCAATCCTGCATCCAGCTGCTCTCTGAATGAGGTCCCATTGGCAATGCTGAGGTTTGGACAGCAGCATAACATCATAGAATCGTTAAGGTTGGAAAAAACCTCAAAGATCATATAGTCTAACCATCTCCCTACTTCCAATATTACCCACTAAGCCATGTCCCTAAGTACTACATCTATCCTATCATAAAACACCTCCAAGGACGGTGACCACCACTTCCCTGGGCAGCCTGTTGTAATGCATTACCACTCTTTCAGAGAAGAAATTCTTCCTAATATCTGATCTGAACCTCTCCTGGGGTAACTTAAGGCCATTCTGCCATCATTCAATGGGACCTGTGCAAGGATGGGATAGAGCCCAACGTGGCTTTTGACTCAGTGGAATGACTGAGACACAAAGCTGTCCCATTTTGACTAGTGGTGTCTCAGCTGAGTGTCCCAAAGAGCCCTTGCCCTAAGCCATGACCTCTTGGAGGGTTGGGTTTCCATCAGAGGTCCCTTGAACTCCGGGTGCAGTAGTGACAGGTATATGAGGAGCTCTGCTGGTCCAGGAAGAGGTGGACAAGAAGGTGGGGTGGACACGCAGGTGGGCAGCCTGCACACCTCTCCTTGGAACTCTGGCTGGTCTTTCCCATCTGCTCTCTTGGGTTCCCACACTGGTGTGAAAGAATCCTTCTAGGTGAGACACCTTGCTTTGAAAGACACAAATATTAGTCATTTCCATCCATCTTTACAGTATCTTCTCCCTTTATGACTTTCCATCTACCAGGAACCCCCCTCCAGTGCAGAATAAGAGGAGGATTCTGTCGTTTTGGGAGTTGCCGCTTCCCATACATAGCTATTGCAAAATGTGCAACATTTATTCCCTGCTGCGGAAGGTAAGATCTGGATTCCTGGCTGAGGAAATGGATCCCTCCTTTGTCTATTGAAATAGCTGTCATACATCTCTCTCTCTCACCAATGTCTAGCAGACAATGTCTGGCATATGGTTGGACTAGATGATCTTACAGGTCTTTTCCAACCTAAATGTTTCTATGATAAATGCTCCACAAGAGGCCCAGGAAGGGAAAAGCTCTTGTGGGTTTGGAAGAGCCCTGTGTGAGGCTGAGGGAACCCTGTGCTCAGCCAGCAGCTCTCCATTCTCCTTAGAGGCCCACTTAACATTGGCAGGGGATCTCCCAGGATTGGAGATGGTTGGGGCTGTTGTCATGTTCTTGATGTTGCTGCAAAGACCTGGACTCAGGGTTAGCACCACTAATTGGAGCGTGAGTTCCAATAAGCCACGAACAGTAAGGGCTGGAGTTACCCTTTGAGCATTGACAGGGGAGGTTTAGGTTGGATATGAGGAGGAAGTTTTTCAGCCAGAGGGTGGTGAGGCACTGGAACAGGTTGCCCAAGGAGGCTGTGGATGCCCCATCCCTGCAGGCATTCAAGGCCAGGCTGGATGTGGCTCTGGGCAGCCTGGGCTGCTGGTTGGCAACCTGCACATAGCAGGGGGTTGGAACTGGATGAGCATCGTGGGCCTTTGCAACCCGGGCCATTCTATGATTCTCTCAGGTCCCAAGGCTTGTTCGTCCTTGGAAAGGTGAGAGAGCGGGGAGAAGTGAGTTGCAAGCAGGTGACATGCTTGTTTGTTTTCTCTACACAGCATATGGGGTTGATGCCCTGAATTTTGTGAGAACATTGCCCTGGAAACACCCCCCCATTGACCTCTCCCCTTCTCACCTCTGCAGTCTTCCATGGTGTGACTGGCACTGGAAGCTGAAGACACCCCGGACCTGCAATTGTTTGCCCAGATGCTGCTTTTCCTTGCTGAATAAAGGCGTGCAGTTTGGCACTGCAGCTGATGGGGAGTGTGAGTGTGTCCTTGTGCCAGAAGGTGCTCTTCCCCATCAGCACCATGGGGATGACAGAGCTGGCAATCCCTGTGTGGCCTCAGGGTTTGCAGCAGATGAAGAAGGTTCAGAATGATGCTCCTCGCTGGGGATGGCCAGCAGGAACCCTACGCTGGTCCTCTCGGGCACGGGTGTCCCTCATCCCTGGCAGCCACAGGCACTGGCTGCATGCAGATGGCTCTGCTGGGTGGTATAATTCTCTATTTGGAGGGGGTAGCAGTTCTTCTGCACGAGTGCTCTGTCTACATGTCTATGGGTGCCAAGGAGTTACTCTTCTTCTACTCAGTGGGAAAGAAGTCCTCATGTATGCCCTGGAGGTGATGTTTGTGCCCAAGTGGACCAGGACAGCGCTCCAACAGGAGGATCAGACTGCATGCTTGCTTGCCCATATTTATGCACTCTGAAAAATAGGAACAAAATAATGGTTATCTCTACTGATGTGGTGAAAACTCCTTGTCTTGGCATTTGCCTGATCTAGTCACTCTAAGCAAGAAGGCTGAAAGTAAAAATAGCCACAGAAAGAGTGCATCAGCCAGGTGACTGGGGCTGGTTGTCCCCATTCGTTTCTCCTGTTTCTCCTTCCCCTACACATCCTCCTCTTACACAGTTCCAAAGTCCCTACCTCCCAGGTTCACATTTTATCAGCTGCAAGGTTCACCACCGTCTCCAGAAGTGCCATCTGCAACTCATTAGCCCACTAATTCGTGTGACTGGAATGTCTGCTTATGGCAATTGCCTCCCAGGTTAAAGTCCGCCAGCCCTGCTGGAATGAAAATCACACATTCTCACCTGCTCTCATAAGTTAGTGTGATTGACCAGGTTTAGTTTCCATCCCTAGAAATATGCCTCTGCTGTTAAGACCAATGGTATCCTGAACCACATTTGAGAAGGTGTTGCCTACACATCAAGAGAAGTGGCCTTTCCCCTTGGCTCAGTACCTGGAGTGCCGGGTCCAGTTCTGCAGTCATAAAGGCCTGCAGGAGATGCAACGGGATGGGGCTGTGCTCCATGGAGCCCAGGGCAGTCCAGGAACACAGGGCACAGCCTGGAGCCCAGGAGCTGCCATCAGCAGCACCGCTGTGCTGGGCGGGTGCCTGAGCCCTGGCACAGGGAGCAGAGAGCAGTGGGGGCTGCCCAGTGGGGATCCCCAAAGGTCACCTGGATGTGGTGCTGAGCACCCTGCTCTGGGTGTCTCTGCTTGAGCAATTTGAGACTAGCTAGCCTCCAGAGGTTCCTTCCAGCATTAAGCATATCGAGCTGCTTCCCTTTCTATTATCCCTTGTTGCATTGGAAAGGACCCCAGACCAAGTGCCTGTGGAGGATCTGACACTCTCCCTCTATGTACTTTTACTGTTGTCTTTACCACTGTGACTTAAATGGATAGGGAGAGGATGCAGATGGGTTGGGTTGGCTGGTTTTCTGACCTTAACATATATCCTGGTGTTACTAACTCTGTTTGACTAGACTGAAACTGTAGTGCTTCTCCCCCTTGGGGTATCAGCCACATGACTATCTTGTCTCAGGTTCTTGCAATGTCTCAAGTTGAGAGGGTTTTCAATATCCTGCATGTCATTGTACATCACATCTAAACTGACTGCTTAATCAGATAGGAGGATGCAAACAAAGATCCTTTTTATTTTGGGACCAAGCTGCTGTTTGCTGTCTGCACCAACCAAACACATTGCACATCCCCCAAAATTTCCAGCACGCCACCACAGCTCGTGTGCCTGTTGTGAGCCAAGATGTGTTGCATGAGGGTAACTGTGACTATTGCAACAGCACCAGCGAGCACCTCAGCCTCTCCCACCACAGCCAGCAGCAATGAGGAGCAGCTGCTCCATCCCTATGCACATGGGTCACTTTCTGATTGGCCAAGGGGAGAGGTGGCAGCCAGAATAAGCCCATGTCCCACACAATATAAAACTAGGTGATGTAGGGCAATACAGTATTCCCTGATCCTAATCCAACTGGATGCACGCTGTTGTTGTTGGGGTTCTTACTGCACTCTGAGAAACCATCTTCAGGTGAGTAACTCGGTGCCTCCTTCCAGGACAGCTGCCCATTCAGCCTTCCTGTGCAAACCCATCATCCTGTAGCCATCTACATTGCTAGCTATTGGATGTGTCTGTGAATACAAAACGAGAACTAGAGGAGGCTGAGAAGGAGGGGAGGACATTAATATGAGTGTTGGAGCCCAGAACATGTGGAAGCCAGAGATAGGGTTCTCTATTTGTAGAAGAGACTGAAAGATACCTCGATGCTTGAGGAGACACCTAATCATAGAGTCATGGAATGGCCTGGGTTGAAAAGGCTCATCCAGTTCCAACCCCCTGCTATGTGCAGGTTGCCAACCAGCAGACCAGGCTGCCCAGAGCCACATCCAGCCTGGCCTTGAATGCCTGCAGGGATGGGGCATCCACAACCTCCTTGGGCAACCTGTTCTAAGATCTTCTGTTCTGGACCAACAAGGATTGTTCCCTCTTTTCAGGCAGCAGAATAGATTTTCCATCATTTCAGGCTTCAGTTAACACAAGGTAGAATTGTGTTGCTGTTTCTGGCCACCAAGACCTCCCCGCCCTCTTGCTCCTC